TGCTATTGTGCATCTTTGGGGGGATGCCCTCGAACATTCGTCCGTTTGGCTGGCGGAGGGCCTCGTGTTCCTGAAGGGGGTTCTGCAGTACGTCCGACCGTATGGCTCACCTGGCGCCGCAAAGCCTCAGGGCACCCGGCACCACTGAGGGCAGAGTCAGAGGAGAGGCGTTGGAGGAGCACCCACGACGCCGAGGAAAGAGGCGCAGACCGTATCGAGGCCTCCTCGTCACAAGCAAGGCCCGAGGCAACGAGCCTGCGCTGTCACGCCAGCTGGCGGCGACCTCTGCGGTGCTACTCGCGGCACTGACCAAACCACGAGGGCAGAGGTCAAAGCCGACGTGCAGAGAAGATTTGGCATCTGGTCTGTTCCCGAGGCCTCGCCAGCTCGCTGCGTCACAGAGGGCGCTGCAGTAACAGACTCCTCCCTCCTCAAGGCGTCGGCCACCTCCCAACGTTGCGCAGCCTGAGTGGGACCCGAGGCCTGTCCCTCGATCCTCTTACCCTCGCTTTCCTGAACGAGGGCGTCTAGCCTCCGAGTGGCCCTGTAGCACGGGGAAGTCTTTGCGCCACGGACCGACCTCTGGAGCCACAGCGGACAACTCGGGATGCGAGCCGGGAGGCCATCTGAGCAGCCAGGCCTGCCGAGAAGGCCTGGCTGCTCAGAATGCCTCCCAGCTACAGTGCACATCCGTGAAACCATGAAACCACACAGGGAAAGAACCCAGCATAGCTTCACGATTGAGCACCGATTCCAATACAGCTGGACCTTTACCGAGCCTAAGATAGGGCACATCCATGAAACCACCCAGGGAAAAGAAACTCGCTGGGGAATACACGGCAATGACCAGGCAGCACAAACCAGGAGAATTGCATGACATGGCGTCTCTCGGCACGGGTCTGCATTCTTGCTGCCGCGCATGCGCAACATTCGGACAGCAATGGGCGACGTAGGCCGTCGTACACTGAATTCCACATGCCAAAGTTCCAAGGGTGTCCCGAGCCGGCCCCGAGAGATTCCGCAAGCCGCTGGAGGTCAAGCAGCGCAAAAATGCTTGCAGAGGTCCGTCGAGGGAGTGGCCGCGTCTTCCCTGGCCGCCGCGATGCTGCCCTCGGCCGGAGCAGCCTGCCTCCAGGCAACATCCTGGACTCCCTTTGAAAAGGCCCAGCACAAACGTGCGAACGCATATGAGCCTTTTCGCAATGGTACGCGTTATATATCGAGCAAGAAATGCCGATGGGGCGAAGGCTACCAAGATGCTTCGACAAGGGGGCGGGTTATGTAGACCGACAGCTGAGAGAGAATGGCGGGACGCTCCATTACCATGATAATGTCGAAAAGGAATTGGAAATTACCCTCGCCCAACAGATGAGCTTCCTATGGAAGCCGTCTGCTGAGACAGCAGTCTGCTTCTGACACTTCTTTGACACCAGCCGAATCTGATCAGGAGTGATGGGATGGAGCGGAGGGGAGGGAACCCCACTGGGCATCTGAGGATCTGACTTACCATCTCCCCAGAGGGAAGCCCATCTAACACTCGGCAGGAAGAAGGGAACGAGGGTCGGCCATAATGAGGCCGTCGGAGGCCAACGCGGTGGAGGGTACCCAAGGAGTGGCTCCTTTTGAAACCATGTGGATGCATTTCGCCCCCTTGTCAGCACGGGACAGCAACCAATGTTTTCACTTCTTGTGCGCCAAGGTTCTAGCTTCGGTCTCAACCTCGGCAAGCCAGCTTTTGAACGCATCATGCAGCTCGCTCAGCTAAAGTCAGAAAAGAAGCGTTCCTGCTTCGGCACCGTGACCATACACAGGATGATCAAGTCCGTCCGCCAGAACCAACCTATCCTTGATATCATTGAGAAGGCCTGGTGATGACCAATTTCTTCTTCTTCAAGGACCCTTGCGAAAGATGCGCCGAAGTCGAGCAGAGCCTGCTGCGCATGCAGGATGGCTGGCCTGCTCGAGGGAGCCAACCTTGCCTTAGAGAACGCCTGCAATATACACTGCACAGGCAGGAACGAATGCGACCAGCGGTAGACATAGAGGCGAGGCCTTTAGGGGTCCCGAAGAACTTGTTCTTGAATTCTCCTCCAAAACTGATGAGGGTCCTTCCCCGAGTGCCAGAAGCCCTCTCTCGGCAGTATCAGCCCACAGGCTGTAAAGTTGAGTAAGCTTGTCCTTCGTGGCAACGAATATCCCGTTTCAGCCGCCGACCTGGCCCGATCACATGAGCTCTGAAGGCCAGCATCTCAAGCAGTGGCGAAGCGTCCTGGCGTGCGTATAGGCCTACCAAACAATGTTCTAAGAATCTTTTGTGGTATCCGCGAAATGTTCTTAGAACATGTCTGGCTGGGACGGTTTTGTGTTTAACACATGATGTTTATATTATCAGAATATTGTGTTTGTTCTTAGAACGTATTCGGGATCTCGGAACATATCGTGGTAGGCCTATAGGAATGCCGGGACGGTCGGTCCCCGCTCAAGGGTCGGAATTTTAGGAGGCGTGCTGAAAGCCAGTGCTTGCAAGGACCATGAGGGAGGGCGGAGCTTAGCTCGCACGGGAAATGGCGAAGACAGGTCAGCGCCCTTGATCATGGACACCTGCGACATTCCCGGCTGTACTTGAACAGGCACTAGTCGTTAGCCAAAGCATAGTCGCGTTTGTTCAACTCTCCTGTGCCCGTGCAAGTATAACTGTCAGGAATCAGCCACTGTACCTGAGAACATTCATTGACGTTCGATTCCACGATGACCGATGGCTCGATGTTGAAGTCCCTGCGCATGATGGCAGGGAGCCCCAGGGACCCGAACAGGGAGCCGCATGCGCTGAGGATCTTTACGTTCTGTCCGGACAAGCCCGAACAATCGTGCACAGCCCCCACACACGGGATCTGAACTCGGTCCTGCAATGGAGCCATGGTGCCTACAGCTCGGTGAGGCCACACCTCGGCACCAGAGGGAAGCGCGCGCAATCCAGGTCCAGCTTCCGCAGGTATTGCAACACCTGCGTCGAGGCTGCCTTCTGGTCCTCTGCTTGCTGGGAGAAGCACCAGCTTCCATCCACTGCGAATGCACCACGATCTGGCCGAAGGAAACTGTTAGAGTGTAAATGGTGCTCCTGAAGCAACACGCTGTCGTCGGAGGTCCTGACTGGCCATTACTGGGCACTGCCCCATTCCGATACATGACCCGTCTCAGCAATTGGGGCGAACTTGCCAAGGGGAACCTCGTCTGGCCTCAGAGGAGTAAGGATGGGGGTACCAGTTTCCCCAGGAGAGCCCTGAGAAGCAATCGGCGTGCGAGGCGCTTTGATCTTCACAGCTGGACTGGGAATCACCACCGGCTGGACCCGATCAGGGTCATGGGGAGCCAACGTGAAAGCCGAAGCCGATGCTGAGGCGAAAGGCATGACCAATCCGTTGGACACCAGGTTGGTGGCAGCGGGGGCCTCGAGATAAACATGGGGCCCCCGCGGACCCCTACGGAGGATGATAAAGGCCCTGTGTTATACAAAGTTGACTAACGCACGGAAGCTCTTCTAGGGGGGAGTATCGATCAGAACGCTCGGCAAAAGGCCCACCACCACAAGACACTTCCGACTGCACGTCCTCCCACCATTGGGTGGCGTCAGCTTACCACTGGGTGGCATCAGCTTCTGGCCCCCTCCTCCTCCTCCTCCTCCTCCTCCTCCTTCTCCTCCGCGACTCAAGGAGTTTAGAACAGTTCAGACCCAGATCAACAGTGTCCTGCCGGTGCCTGTAAGGGCAAACCGAAAAGTCGGGGCCAGCACGGGGGCTCCGTGCCTGGCATCAACCTGAAGGGGAGAGGGGTCATAGAGTCATGGGCGTCTTTTCACCACCACCACCATAAGCTGGAGGGTCAAGGAGGTAGAGGATGAGGAGGAGGTCGAAGAGGAGGAGGAGGAGGAAGACCTTCTCCCCCTCCTACTTATGATGGTGGTTGTGGTGGAAAGCAGGCCCACCATAGAGGTCTGCCCGAGGAGTGGGCCAGGCGGGGGCTGGGGTCCACCTTCAGTGTGGAGCTCCAAAACTGGTAGGATCACCGCCCACGTCTTGGGTGAAATCACCCAGGCGCGTCTCACCCCGTCCACTGGCATCGCCTGACCGTAGGCCTCACCAGTTTGGGGGAGATGGATGCAACATCTCAGCTGCACGTGATTTGGCAGCTGCATCCACTGTGGCACAGGGTGGGGGGCGACCGGCTCTGAAGATGCGGCAGCCGACTCTCCCGCAGCAGCTGACCCCCCCTAAGGAGGCTGGGCCGTCTACCGGTGGCTGCTTTCCTGCTGGGGCTGCTGGCGCAACGGGAGGCCCAGCAGCGACAGGAGGAGCAGGGAGGATCAGCAGCCCTCGTCTTGTTTGCCGCGATGCGTTTGACCTGTTTATCGTGCTGCTCCTTGAAGGACTTGACATGCCCTGCCACCCTCCAAGATAGCTGTTTGATCGACGCCTGGGGCTTCGTTGAGGTTAGAGACCCGGTTGTCCATCTCTGCCTGCATTTGCGGTGAGATTCCGTACTCCGAAGCCAAAGCAGGATCCAGAAGAGAGCCGACGTTGAGAGGGACTTCTTCGAATTTGCGTTTCAGGATATTGTTGACCTCGAGCTGGGGGGGCGGTCGCGGAGACCGCCGAATGCTCACCCACGGAGTCGTTGCGGCGCCTGACGCGATCAGCAGGCTTAGTTTCAGAGTCCCCAGCGCTGGATGGCATGCTTGAACTCTGCCACGCTGTGCCTGCAACTCGGCCTGCAAGCCGGTCATCATGAGTTCAAGTTGGTTGGCCCTGTTTTGGATGTTGCGAAGTTCCTGAGAGGCCTTGTTGAGTTGTTGCTGCAGAAGGAGGTCTGGCGGTCCCAAGCCTTCTTCTTGGCCTTCGAAGAAGCCGTGAGCTTCTGGTAGGCCCGTGATTCCACATTTTATAATAATATTTCTTCAACACGAAAATGTGCTGTTCCCAACTCTTCAGCTGGCAACTCCGAATTTTGGTTACCAACCGAAGGATTGTCCGACGTTCAGTGGTATTGATAGAGCGGGTCAAGACGATGGGGAAGTTGAGTTATCTGATAATCCCACGACGAGCCAGATCAGACCAGGACTGCCAGTAGGACGAACCGCCATGGGATCGCGAGGTGCTGCTTCATCGGGCTCAGCACGAAGTCTGGCACTGCTTCCAAAACCACCAGGCGCTCTTGCTGTTTGTGCAGCCCCATTGCGTACAGCTCCACAAGGGTACCTTGCGGCGGAGGCCCAGCCAGCTGGGCTCTCGGGAGCCGGACACCATCGCCAGGGTCAGGACTCCGGACTCAGCAATTGCCATTGGAGGAGGAGGAGGAGGAGGAGGAGGAGGAGGAGGAGCCATCGAAGTAAAAGTGTTCGGGGAGTGTTCTTTGCTTTCACCGCTGGGACCGCGGCGCTCAAGCCTGCACAATGTTTTCCAACACGAGGAGAGAACGACCAGGACAAACGCGTGACCCAGAATGGGCTCGACAGGAGGAGGAGGGAAGAGGGGAGAGGGAGTACGGTGGAGAGGAGGGGTGGAGGAGGGGATGAGGGGAGGGAACAGGAGTGATAGAAGGAGGGAGGATGTGTTGGAGAGGGAGGCAGATGGGTGGAAGAGGGGAGAGAGGAGCGACGAGGAAACACAAGCATGGGATAGGGGAAGCACGGCGCGGGTGCCCTGTCGGTCCTCCTCCTGCCTCTGGCGAGGAGCACGTTAGTGAGACGTACCACCGCTTCCGCGACGTGGCCAATTGGATCTGGGCTCTGAAGGCTGCTCGGGTGTGTCTTCGGTTGCAGGAGCAGTAACGTGCGCGCGCACTCTCAGGCCGCGCGCGCACGCAAAACGTTTCGCCACCTCTTCTGCCTCCTCCCTTCCTCCTCTGCTGCTTTTGTAAACCCTCGTGCATCCCTCCTGCCACCTCCTCCGTCCCTCTACTGCCCTCCAATCCTCCGGGCGTCGATGTTGGTGCCCGAGTGGAGTATGAATCTAAGTATGTTCATTATTCGTATTATTATGTTGATGGTTTTGATGATGCTGATGATTATGATGATGCTGATGCTGATGGCGATGATGATTGTGGAATGAGGATTGAGCATGAGGTTGATGATGATCATGCTGCTGATGATGATGATGGTAATTATAATGCTGATTATGGTTACGACGATGCTGGTGATTTCATTTTGATTGAGACGATGCTGATGATGATCATCATCAGCACGATGATGATGATGATGATGATGATGATGATGATGATGATGATGATTATGATGATGATGATGAGGTTGATGGCACTGGCGATGGTAATGACGTCGACGACGGCGATGGCGATGATGATGATGATGGTGATGGTGGTGATGATGATGATGATGATGATGGTGGTGGTGGTGGTGACGGTGGTGGTGATGATGAGGTGGTGCCGACGACGACGAAAACTAAGATGATGATGGTAACGATGATGAGGATGAAGACAGGGATGATGATTGTAATGGTGATCATGGTGAAATAGCAGGTGTTGATGAAGATGACTATGCTTACTGATGCCAATGATGATGGTGATGCTGATGATGATGGAGGTGATGATGATGCTGACAATGAGAGTGAAGTTGATTAAGATGGCGGTAGGTACACATATGCGGATGATGATGATGGTGATGATGGTGATGGTCGTGATGGTTGTGATGACGATGGTGTTGGTGTTGATGATGATGTTGATGATGATGCTGATGATGATGATGCTGCTGATGCTGACGATGATGATGATGGTTATGGTGACGATGAGGATGTTGGTGATTCTGATGATGATGATGATGATGATGATGATGATGATGAATATGATGATCATGATGGTGGTGATGAGGATGATGATGATGATGGCGATGCTGATGTTGATGCTGATGCTGACGATGATGGTGATGATGATGGTGATGAGTGTTATGGACACGATGATGATTAAGATTATGCTGTTGAGGAGGCTGATGATGCTGATGATGACGATGATGCTGATGGTGATGATATTGATGATGATGCATATGATGCTGATGATATTGATGATGGTACATCTGATGCTGATGACGATGACGATGCTGATGATGAGTATGATGATGACGATGCTGATGGTGGTGATGATGATGATGATAACAATGATGCTGATGATGATAACAATGATGATGGTGCTGATGCTGATGCTGATGCTGATTATGATCATGATGATGTTGCTGATGATGCTGATGCTGACGCTAATGCTGATGCTGATGCATCTGTTGATGCTGATGCTGATGCTTTTGTCTACCCGCCAGAGTGGACAAATGAGTCCGTGGGAGGAGGAGGAGGAGGAGGAGGAGCAGCAGGAGCAGGAGGAGGAGGAGGAGGAGGAGGAGGAGGAAGAGGAGGAGGAGGAGGAGGAGGAGGAGGAGGAGGAGGAGGAGGAGGAGTTAGGGGGTGGAGGAGAGCCGCGCCCGGGCGGCGTGCGCCCTTGCCATCGCCGCCGCGGCCGCCGCCGAGGCGCCGCCCTAGCGTCCTCTGCGCCCTTGCGTACGCCTTCGCGGCGTCCTGCATTCCACTCCTGGGCTGCAGCGGAGGTCCCAGGCACAGCCCGCGCTCGAGACGAGCGAAGGCCTCGCGCCCTGCCTTTGATCGGATCCCCAGGCTTGCGGCAGGGGCCAGCCAATCCCGCGAGCACGCCGCCCTCCCGCGCGGTGTGGGAGCCGCAGCGGGCGCAGCACCATATGCGCCCGCAGGTCGCGCGACGGGTGCGCAAGCAGTCTGTCGACTTGCACCTGCGCTGCTGGGGGCCGCGGCTCGGCCGTGAGGCCCTGCGCGGCTGCCGAGGCCACGGCAGGGGCAGCGGGCGGGCCCGCGCAGACCGTGCGCAGCCACCTCGCACTCGCAGCTCTCGTGCCGCGCACCTCCGACCAGCAGCGGTGGCAGCGCATCTGCAGCGCTCCAGGCCCCCGCACTGCCCCTCTGACGATCCGGACGTCGTGCCGCGCTCCGCGAAGGGCCGCCTCGGAGGGAGTCGGCTCCGGGGCCCGCCAGGCGGGCGCGCTCGCCGCTGCCTCGGGTCGGCGTCGCCTGCCGCCTGCAGGACAGCGGCGAGCCAGGTGCGCACGCGGCCCGCCCCTTAGTCGGCCTCCTCCTCCTCCTCCTCCTCCTCCTCCTCCTCTTCCTCCTCCTCCTCCTCCTCCTCCTCTACTCCTCCTCCTCCTCCTCCTCTACTCCTCCTCAGCCTCCCCAAGGGCGCGCTTCTGGGCGGCCCTGCTCCGCGAGGCGGTGCGCCTCGCGGTGTGAGGCGCACGAGAGCACACGTCGAGGCCCTGCTCTCCGCGTCCTCGTCGTCCGTGGGGTGCGGCTCTCGACCTGGTGGACGGCAAGCGCGCACGAGCGCAACCCGCTCCGGCCGCTCCCACAGGTCGCGGTGGGTGCGGCGGCGGCGAGCCACAGGTAGCCACAAATAGTCGGGGGACGATTTTTCGACTTTGACCATTTTTGAATGTGTGTTGGATGTTTGTTGTGTCTCGTCCCAAATACGCCTGTAGGGGGACATGCCCGACCTAATGCAAGTGGAGAAGGTCGCGGCCGTCCTCGAGGCTTTTCCCAGCGAAGCGCAGCGTTTGCACCAGCCACGCTGCACGTGTGCCGAGTCCAGGAGCACCAGCCACGCTGCACGCACGCTGCATAGTGCAGCAGCCGCCGAGGAGCACTGCAATCTTCGACGTGCTCGACCATCTCCGCGCGGTTGACCGTCTGCGCCTCGCTGCCTGGAATGTCGCCTCCGCGGCCCCGCATGGACGCCTCTGGCCTAGCGGCTTCGGGCAGGGGGCATTCGTGGAAGCCCTCCGCGAGCACGGCATGAGACTACCACGCGCGTCGCAGCCGCGGGTCTCTGGAAGGCTCTCCGCCCGATCGATCGCCGCCGCTCCACCACTGCCTGCCGTCGCCAGCGACAGGGTCGGGTCTTCGACCCAATGGCTACGCCTCGGGATCCTAATTATTGGCCAGCGGCGGCGCAGTCCAGGCAGCGGGAACGAGGCCGCGCAGCCAGAAGCATGGACACCCTGCTGCCTCTCGCCGCGCGGCTTCCTCAAGTCACACATCACTAAACCAGGTCCCATTTAACCCAGTTTTTCCAACGCCCGATCAAGGTCCGCCGTCACCGCGCAGGCCTCAATGCCCCCCTTACCGTCGCATTCCCAAAACCTGCGCATCGGTGCCTCTGTGTGTATCGCCGGTTGCAGCGGCGGCAAAGGAGCTCCTCGGGATCGCCCTCAGTCCCAGCGCCACCACGGCGCGAGAGGGTTCGGTGCGCTCCCGCTGCAATTGCCACCCGCAGCCTTCGCCATGTTGACTAGTGCTCGAGGCGGCGCAGCTCCTGGTGCAAGTGTTAAGTCGGGCATGTCCCTCTGCAGGAGGAATTTTCAAAAATATCCAAACATAGTAGTCGGGGGACGATTGTTCGGCTAACTTTGACCATTTTTGAATGCTTGTTGGATATTGTTGGTGTCTCTCTCGTCCCAAATACGCCTGTAGGGGGACATGCCCGACCTAACGCAAGTGGAAAAGGTCACGGCCGTCCTCGAGGCATTCCCCAGCGAAGCGCAGGGCCAAGCCGCGCCAGGTGGCGCCCTAGACCCACTGCTCCAGCGCCTCCACAGATTCCGTCGGTTCCTGCGGCTCGTCCCCTGCAACGCTCGCCGCCTCGAAGCTGCTGATGATGATGAAGATGAAGATGAAGATGAAGATGATGATGCTGATGCTGCTGCTGGTGATGATGATGATGATGATGATGCTGATGATGATGATGATGATGATGATGATGATGATGATCATGCTTATGATCATGATGGTGATGGTGATGGTGATGATGTTGATGATGACGACGCTGCTGATGATGATGCTGCTGCTGATGATGATGATGATGATGCTCATAATGATGATGCTGGTAATGCTGATGATGATGACGATGATGATGGTGACGATGGTGATGGTGATGATAACGATGACGACGATGATGATGCTGATGATGATGAGGACGAGGATGAGGACGATGATGATGATGATGATGATGCTGATGATGATAATGATGAAGATGACGATTGTGATGATGACGTTGATGATGATGACGATGACGATGACGATGATGCTGCTGCTGCTGATGATGATGATGGTGATGATGATGATGATGATGACGATGATGATGATGATGATGATGATGCTGATGATGATGATGATGATGATGATGATGATGATGATGATGATGATGGTGATGGTGATGGTGATGGTGATGGTGATGATGCGACCGTTGTGAAGTTTGCTCCAGACACCTCAGTGAACTATTTCGGTAACAACCCTGTCGTTGCCAGTGCTACTGAGGATCTTGTGATTGTGTCCACCGCGAAGTCTGCTCCAGCCACCTCTGTGAACTATTGCCCATGGTTGATCGGCGGCGGCGCGCCCCGCCGATCGCGCGCTGTGCGGTGCGGAGTGACCCGCGCCTGCACGTGCGCGTAGAGCACAGCGGTTCTTGTACGCGCTTGGCGCGGGCAGAGGGCTCTTCTCAGCACTCCCGAACTGTCCCTCACCCATGAGCATCGACTCTGTTAAACATGATAATTTTCACTACTCCATGCCGCAGGGTCGGACTCGGAGTGCGTCCAGCCCAAGTCCAGCAGCGTTGCGACCACTGCCGAGATGGGTACGTCCACCGCCCTCCGCCTCCTGCCCGAAACAGCGCTCGACGGGCGGCTCGGCGCACGAGCTTTGGCCAGGCTCG